TGGCACAGTGATGCCAGCATTTCCTTAAAATGAGGCACATCAGTGATGAACGAAGCTGAACGGAGGCAGCCTACTGTTCTTAACTGCTAAGTTATTCTACAAAAGGTGGACAAAACTCCCACTGTCACATCCCCTATGACTCCAGGCTCTAATACCAACTTACAGTAGAAGTCACTTATTTAGTAGCTGGGTGTCCAGACTAGGTTACGCATCTGAGAGGTTTCTCCAGAGGCTACTTATCCAAGCCTCCAGCATATTACTAAAATAGGTGGACCTAACATATTTTAGCTATCTACTCTAGAACAAGACAATTCGCTCCATTGAATGACCATAAAGAGTACCTAAATATGTATCTACACTGCTAAAGTTAGGTATTCTCTCTGGAGAATATCTGGAGCCATAATTCAGGTTTCTAAGCTACAGAGAGCAAAGGGGGATACTGGATGTGCATTCAAGTCAAACATTTTCTATGCGTGAGTATACTCCCTGGCTCCATGTCCTATATCTTGATTATTCTTTGCAGGCACCAGTTCTCACCCTTGACTCCTAAGATTCTAGAAACTTTAACAGTCTCCAGTGCACCCTGACGAGGTCAGGGGGCAGCCTGCAGCACCTAAGCTGAAGGCACAGATGATCAAAGCATGGCTTTGCAGAATCATGGCCAAGAAGAAAAACAAGCAAACAAACAAAAAAACTCCCAAAAAAACAAAAATAGACCCGTAAATTTAAAACATGGAAGCATAATAAATATTTGCAAAATTAAATGGTTACTTTGACACATTTTCTCCACTGATCGCACATTTCCAGATTGCTCCTGTCACAGCTGCTAAAAGTTGCTTATTTTGAGTGTTACCGAGCAAAACAGACAGTGGTTGTAGACCTCCATGCTGTCTGACCAGGTCACGTGTTTCTTTGTCTTCTGCACACTGTGCAACAAATGAAATACACATATTATTGAAAATGTAGGAGAGACTGTCTTCAAAAGCTAGAGGTACTATGTTGCAAATATTGAAAACTAACATAGAAGAAAATGAGAACTGCTTATTAAATACCTAGAAATGCTAGGCACTCACTAAGATATTTCTGACAGTAAAGAACTACTTCATGTTACAAAATTTATATTTTTTTCCCCTTGTGCACAAATAAACAGAAAATAATTTGTGCATCTCTTTGCGCAGCATGTCCCACCCCTCTCCACCAGTTACCTGTGCAATTTAGGACCTGCTTGCAAGAGACTAATTCAACTAGGATCTGAACAGCAAGATTAAATGTACAGCTAAGACGCCTCATAAAAATTAAGCCACAAACTGTCAACATTTTCTGCAAAATAATTTCTCACATCTTAGAGAAATAATAAAACTGAGAAATATTAGTACTAAGTGACAACGATATGAAAACCAAGCGCTAATCCCTCCCTCTGATCTACGAATTGAAATAATAAAATTACCTTAAATATGGCACTTGCACAAAGCATCTGTAGCTCCTCGTGTTCACTACTTAGATTTTTCACAAGGTCTTCAATCATTCCTTCCATCCTTATTGCAAGTCTGTAACTTTGCTAAAAGACAAACTCCATCTTTTTTAACTCCTCTGCACTAGTAGTAAATAACACTAATCATAGTAATAGTGAAGTACTATAATTTTAGCCTCTGATTTTGTGGAGTCCTGCACTTAATTTTAAGCAAAAGTAATCTAGATTGCCTAGAATATACTACTGATGTTCTCCACCACATGCATAACATCTCTGCGGGGCTGTGATCTTATTATGGGCAGTACAAACAGGTGCTGAAGCATTCACTCTGTATGAACCTCACTGAACGCTCTGAAAGGTGCTCAGGTGCTCACATGTTTCTTTACTTTCTGCACAGTATACAAAAAATAAAATATTCATATGTTCAAAATGTATAAAACAGTGGTTCAATGTTCAGAATCAGAGAAGAAACAGATGCTCCAGGATGGGGTCAACAGGCACCTTTTCATTTCACCTAAAGCCAGTAGCCAAAATAATAGATCTGCTCCCAGAAGGAGGTTAGGAAAACATGTTATTAGCATTAAAATTTGTCAGTATGTTTTCTTCCAAATTTTAATCCACAGGCATTGTAGATGGAATTACTTTAGTTTAAGAGATTCATTTAGTCTTCCCTGAAAAAATGTGTTCAAATCTGGCCACATGACTCTCCCCCTAAAAACCGAACCTCCTGATTGTTCAATACAGAATACTAAAGTTAAAATTTCTCACGTGTGTGTCTTCATGAGGCCTATGTGTTTCAAGAAAGTTTTCTAAAGACAAACTACTTTTGTCTTTAGAACAAAAAATTAAGTGGGTTTTATTTTACCATAAACTGTAACCTTCTTACAAAATCTTCTACCACACCCTAGCATTCACAGTTCTGAGTCCAAATGTCATAATGAAGTTCCTGCCCTGGACAAAGTTTGTTTTTAAATGGTAGGCAAAGGTAACACTTCCTTTTATTGGTCAATTATTTTTATGATTAGAAATAACGTAGCTGTACGTGTTTACCTACCTCTGAGGCACATTCTTGTAGTGTCCCCACCACTGGGGTTAAGATGTTTACATGTGAACACTTGAGCCACTTAGCCAATAATGGAATGCCACCAGCCTTAAGAATTGCCTCTTTGTTTTTGGTGCTTTTGCTGCAGCTCCAGAGTGCCAAAGCCCCACAGCGAGCTATTTCAAAATCTTTTGCTTGGGGTGGTGTAAGAGCAGATGATCCCACTGAAATACATTCCAATAGCCCAACCTAACAATAAAAAAAAAAAAAAATCAATTATGCATAGTGGACCCTGATATTATACCGCTTTTTATTGATAGCGGACACTATCTGGACAGCCAGGCATACAACAAATCATCTATTGTTAGGAAAAAATATGCTTGTGGAAGGCATACTGATTTTAATATTTTCTTACCAGTTTCTTGATCCCTCCATATTGCCTTACTGTCCGTCGTGCTCGTTTAAACCTAGCAACATTAGCAATTGTTTCAGCTGCCAAACACTTTAGGTCTTTATCTGGAGACTCTAGTATTTTCACCATGATCTGTAATCCCTCAAGATCTGCAATTGCATGTCTGATCAGTGAATTCTGACTGATTTCCTTCAGTATTTTTAAAGAACCAATCTAAATAATGGAAAATAACAGACATTATATACCATTTAAGAATAAAAAAGTAGTAAAATTATTTAAAATGTAAGAGTGATCTAAAAACATTTTATCTTTTAAATTGAAAATCAGAAATCAGATTTTTATATATTAAAGTCCTTCAAATTAAGAAAACACGGAAAACATGAGAAAACAAATCAATTTTCTTTATACTACATAATCTTGAAAATTGAGAAAATATTCTAATAATAAAAAAAAGCATAATCACTGCTCTATTTGACAAACCCCCTTACCTGACATTTAATTTCTTCTGTATCAAGTAAATTAATTAACACTTCAAGACCTCCAACATCTCTAATGGCCAGTTGGCATGTTTCTTGAGCCAGATTGAAATCTTTCATTGAACACAATGCAATTACAGTAGCTGTCGGATTACCTCCCTAAAATAAAATAAATTATTAACATATGTAAAGAAAATTAAATGTAAAACTTAATCTCTTCTATTAGCACCAACAAAATTACTACTAAAGGAGAAACCCGTTAGAGTATTTCTTGAATCTATGGTATTAAATAACATAGGCGTAATGAGAAATGAAATAATGATAGTCTGAAAATGGCAAAATGTTTAAGAAAAAAAAATACTGCAGACAAAAAATGGGCTGATAAATTAGGGAAAGTCAAGTATCAGAAATTCTGTGTTTTGATCTAAGTGTTTGTAGAGAGCAAGAGAAGATAAAGACATTTCAAAGACTCTATCTGCATTCCTTGCATTGATGCTCACCCTGGAAGAAAACAGAGTGCAAACTGGAATTCTTCTTTGTCAAGGACATTTCAGATCTGTCCGAAAACTGAAGTGACTGCAGAAAAGCTTATTAAAACAAACAAACAAAGAAAAGCAACAGAATGAGTAATAACGAGTCACCGTTAGTGGATGGTATTCACTCAAGAGTTATTATACAGAAAATCAAGGCAAAAATAGTTGAACCATTACAAGTGGCCTGTATCCTCTGACTTCAAACAACTCTGCAGCCTAAGTACTGGACAAATGTCACATCAATTTTGAAAAGATACTGGGATGATCCAAGGCCTGTTAGATGCCCATGCTTGACAATTCAGTAGGCTGTAATAAAGAATAAGATTAGCAGACATCTAGCTAATTATGATATTTGGAAATATATATATCTAAATAATCAACATAGATCCGTTAAAAGAAGGGCTACAAAACCTGCCAAACTCTTAGATAGGGATGATCTAGTTGAAGTCTAATGAAGCCCCATAGGGCTTTTGACAAAGTCCCTCACACTCTACATACAGTCTCCCACTGCTAGAAATTATGCACTCAAGTTTTTCCCACTTGTGAAAATAAGAAGTCAGGAAATCTGGAGTGCAAGAGATGAACCCCAGGCATAGAAAGCTTCCTTCTTGGTCATAGCGACTGCAGCCAGGATCTTAGGATCTGCTATTACTTTTGATCTGGTCCAATATCTTTTATATACAAATTTAAAATAATAAATACACAGAAAAAGACAAAAGAATATACCTTAATGTAGGAGTTTCAGAACGAGGGCATGTGAAAAGACTTGGGATCTTGCATACAAATTTGAGATTACATTGTAACATTTGACTAGAAGTATGAATTTTTGGATGTGTCTTAGGCAGAAAATGTATTGTAACAATGATTTCTTTCAAATCTATAATATAGACTTAAAATTAACCAAAACAAGGATGAACTCAGCTATGCAGAAATGCGGGAACCTGAGCTACCACAGCTAGAGGAGAAGTGGGAGTGCACGAACAATGTCAACTGCTGCTAGTGAGTAGGCTACAGCTTAGTGTACCTATTAATCAAACTACAGTGTCTGCCTCCCAAATGCCTTGGAATTCCAAGGAAGCTTGGGCTCACATCCAGGTGTGAGCTGGGCTGCAGCCTCTCTTTTTTAAATGACATTTTTGAAACTGTAAAGAACTTCAAATCTACCCTTTCCCAAGGAAAATATTTTGCTAATCCATGCTGATCATACTGAAACAGACAACACTATAAAAGTCAGTAACGCTCGCAAATATTTTTGTTAGGTGTAGTTGCTTCATATTTAAATTATGAATCACATCCCGTAAGCATAAAGAAATCAGAAACAGTAAGACTAATACAGAATACCGAAGTATTTGGACTCAGCATACCCTTCAATTGATATGATAAAACTAGTAGAGAATTGTAAGCAAGTTAATGTTCTCAATAGAAATGTGAGAAAAATACTGCGTGAAGCTTCAGATCAGTAACTTACATCAGACAATGCATTTGTGACAATCAACGAATTATAAGTGTATGGTACTTCAAAACCAGTTTTTAATTTTAATTTCTTTTAGCTACAGGTGTCCACATAATTTTCTTGCAGAAAGCTGCTTAAACATAAAGGTATTTTTTAACATAATATATTGTCCTGAAGAAAAATTTTTACAATTACTTCATGCTAAGTTTTCTTCGATCGTCATTACATTCTTGACTCTAGAAGAAACTGAAGCATGTGTCCAGCTTTAAGAACATTTTTAGATCTACTTGGTAAAATAGGTCCTATGGAATAAAATTATTGTAGCATTTTTTCAAATGTTTTCCTAGGAAAATTAGCTTATCTATACATATCAGAAAGCCTGAATGGTTTTAAAATATCTACAGAGCATGATTGCCAAACTACAGAGAATACTTTGTAGCTGGAAAAGAGAGTGTCCTACGAAGTTTTTGATCTTTTCACATAGCTCAGAGTTCGACATTTATTCTAACTTTGCTTCGTAATATAAACATTTTGCAACAGGTGTTTAAAGAAAAAACTTCTCTTTATTCTTTTATATAAATTCAAGGAGTACATTGTTAAAGTGACAGTGTCTCTTCTTTTGAGGAATATTTACCCTACAGTAAAACTACATTTATAGATAATGTAATAATTCTTAATTCTGTTATCTATTAAATATATAACTGTCCATATATGATACTCAGCATAGTCCAAGTTTTTTTAAAAAACTTTGTTTCTTTTTCTTCAAACTGCAAAAACAGCTTAAAAAATGTTTCTAAGCTTCAACAAACTTTTTCATATTTTCTGAAGTATCTGTTATACAAAATGAAAAATACTACTGATGGTCTCAACAATTAATTTTATTGTAGTTACCATTGCAGAAAGTCTTCCAGGACTTACAGTAAAGATTTTAACAGGCATGGAAATAGTTATCTCTCCATTGAGTTGAAATAAAACCTGCATCATGTTGTATGACCATTTGAAACATGATCTGCTGGATGCAAAATAAACTCTACTGGCAGATAAACAACCAATTTTAAGGCTTCAAATTAAGCACAGATTTAGTTTAAAATGTGCATCTCTTTCTATAGAGCAATATAGTGTAAATATCCACAAGCTAAGTCAAAATAAAACAGGATCAGTACTGCATTAATCAGTAAAACTTCTCAGTTTTACTGAGAAGTAAACATTACACACATTGGTATGTGTAATGTCTCAATCATGACAGTAAACTCATGGAGATCACAACTGAGAATTACAGAACTATGAAGATGGCTATATAAAATTAAAATCAAATGTGCAGCAAAGCTTGTCTTGATTTTATTTTAGAAGTATTTAACTGAATATTTTTATAAAACACAGACAAATCTACTTAAAACCTTTAGCATATGTCAACAAAATCAGCTATATTAGACAGTGCAGTATATAAATTTGGTGTCTATGACGTGATCTCACTTTTCACGATGGGAGGAAGATAGGAAGGGCTCTGTGAGATCTGCCTTTGATTTTTTTTTATCCTACTACTGGATGTCCTGCTGGATATTCTTTTCCCAACTTAAAAAGACCTTTCAGTAATGGTGAAAGCTACAGAATTGTCACGCAGAGGTTGATAAATTATCTTTTCATTCTTAAGCCGAGATAAAAAGGTAAATCAAGAACTAATGTCCAAAAGAATATTAATCTACCTACTTTGAGTGTCTTTATACCAACAGTCTTTAAATTGATTAATTTATTTTTGTTTAATGCAAAATAACTCATTTGACTCTTACTTTACTTCTGGCTGGGACAATGCCTTCAGTCTTGATTTAATAATGTCAAGAAATGCAGCATCTCCAAGTTAATCATCTTTGCTATTAAAATTTTGAGCTCCTCTGACTTCAGTTTTAGCCGCTGATTGTTTAAAGAGTTCTTTGGTAATTGACAACTCCTTCTTCATAAAAAAACTTTCTACTATATTAAGACACCCATCAATTCACTTTTTGGTAAACTAACAAGCTTGAGTTCCTAAGTCTTATAGCACTCACTGTCTAGCACTTTCTCTAGCTTTTGAATAAGCTTACATTTTGAAATGTAATTCTTTCCTGAACAACAATTTTTTTCAACTTTTTTTTTTTTTTAATTTTGCATTTGGCAGGCTCAAAATCAGTTTTAGGGGCTCCATACACCAATGTAACCTTGCATCCCTAGGCCTTCTCACTGCCTGTGTTTATGAAACAGGACATTGGTCTTTGCCATAGAAGTACTGCTCAGTTGCTTGCATGTAACTGCCAGAAGTTTTTAGAGGAGCTATGTCCAGAATACAGACCTCCCTGTACAGGTATGTTCTGAATTCTCCTTCCTTATGCACCTAACTGCATCTGGGCATACTGAAGCATATTTGATCCAAACGGAGACATGCTACCAGGCAATTCAGATCTGCCTTTTAGTACCTCCCTGTTATTCCACATTCTTTCCCATTTCTGGTTTTCAGGAATGACTTTACAACTGGGCAACTGATGAAAATGTTGTTCAAGGTCTGCCACTAGAGGAGAAACATCCTTATTTGGTGCTGTTCTCCCAGTGATGCCACTTATTTTGTTTAAGACTTTGCAATTCAGAAAAGAATTACCTGCCTACATTTTTTGCCTGCATCCAGACCACCTTTTCACTGGTTTGTTTGGAGTCTTATCTTTCTCCATTTTAAAATCCTCAGACTTTCAAAAATCACTCCTTGGCATCTCCCTTTGGATCTCAGGATCTCACTGCTGGACAGTGCTTCTGAGACACCCAAGTACTTTCTGGCACCTTCTGACAGAAACACATTCAAATACCAGATCACAGAATCACAGAGTGGTTGAGGTTGGAAAGGACCTCTAGAGATCATCTAGTCCAACCCTCCTGCTCCAGCAGGGTCACCTAGAGCACGTGGCACAGGGTGGCATCCAGGCAGGTTTGGAAGATCTCCAGAGAAGGAGAATCCACAGCCTCTCTGGGCAGCCTGTGCCAGGGCTCTGTCACCCTCACAGGAAAGAAGTTCCTCCTCATATGGAGATTAAACGTGCCATGTTTCAACTTACACCCATTACCCCTCGTCCTGCCGCCAGCCACCACAGAGAAGAGCTGCCCCCACTACTGAAAGACCTGAAGTTAATATGGCTCCTCAGGAACAAAAATAA